ATCATCCAAAAATAAAGGGCACATACATACATAACTCGAATATAAATAGCATTAGCTAAAAATGGATTCAGGGCTAGAAATTAGCAATCATAAATCAAGTTAGTGCTCTGATCTAGTTTTCAAAAATTTGGTTTCAAATCAACGTAATATAAATAATAAATTAATGTTTTTGTTTTATATTTGTATACTTTTATGATAAAAATAACACTTAAAAATTGAATACTCTTATGATAAAAATACCACTTATAATGATACTGATTAAACATTTAAAAACAAAGGCAAACTATTACACCATTTAGCCAAATATAAGGATTGCAGATAAAATTTGTTATATATAAATACTTTTTTGAAATTAACAATAACACTGCAATCAACACCATCATTTTTAACAAATTTCCATACATATCATCAAAACATTGACCTTACACGGTGATATCAAGTTTTAAATAACATAACATATTCAAAAAAGTGTCACGATTTTATTACAACTAACACCAAGTTTTAAATAACACATCATATTCAAAAACCCAAAATATAATTCGAATTTACATAAACCATTAAATCACTTAAGATGTTAAATCATTTTATTTCATTAGTGAGTAAATCACTTAAAATGTTATAAAAAAGAAGGTTACAAATTCTTGATACCAACCTTTTTCATGTGTTCACATCAATTGCTTCAAAATTAGTAAAACATTCCTTCACTATGCTTCATGCATGTATTTCTTCCCTTGGATGGACGTTTTTCCCCTGTAACAAAGAAAACTAATCCATTTAATACTACTTTTGTATAATAAAAAACCTCTCTTTATTGGATGAATGGGTACCATTTTATCCCAATAGGACTAAACGGTTTGACCATTAAATGACACAAAAGCAATAACACACCTCGCTGTTTCAAAACGTCCCAAAAATAACTAACGAATCACCACATCCTTCATTAGTCAGCAGCAGAGCACAATAAGTATAAGACGCAAATGGTCCGGTTGATCAATTGGAAAAAGGACACCTGCTAAAAATTAGAAAAGAAACATTCAAACTAAAATGGAAAAATACTAATTACATCAAATATTAAAACTTGTAAGCATATACAGCATAAAACTTATACCTGGAAACTATAATAAAACCGTTATAAAGAATGAATTGCCAAATAAAACATAAAGCTTATACCTCGGCTTTCTGATGTGAAGACACTACAACCTGTGATATTAAAAAACAATTGTGTTTAGCAGTTAACCAAAAAGTCCTAGTGAGTGGTAGAATGTTGAATTCACAAATGAACAAAAAACTAAAAGAGGTTATGTGTGTTGTGGAATTTAGCCATAACATGTAATATTAAAACACAAACGTGATTACACGTAACTGAATATGGAGAAGATATGGTCATATTGAGTTTATTGAATTAGAAACATTCATTTTTCATTACCCATAACTTTGATCCAGACTTATAAAAATATCTGCACAAAAAAATGAAGCAGGTAATTGTACATTTTACCCGTTCAAGGTCCCTATGTTGGAAAAGCTGCATAAAGAAAAAGAACCACCAAAACCCTTCACATTCATTCAAAGAACATAATGTATGGGGAAGAAATGAGAGCACAGAGAGAAACACTTCGTCTTTAATCTTCTATAGATCTAGAATGTTGTCCATGTTACCTGGAATCGACCCGAACAAAACATTAAATTCATTAGCAGAAAAGAAAAAAAATCATTTCCTAAAACGTGTACATACGACAAATTAATAAAGGAAAATAAAAACACAATGTGTTAATTAAAGAAATGAAAATGATGATATATTAATCAAATAATATTACCTGCCTACTCACCCAATATAGGCCCTCAACCAGCTTCCCAAAATCCTTTCCATCTTCCAAAATAGCATAACCAATTCTCCCTATACATACAATCAAACATCCATCAAGTTTCCCCATGAAACCACTTAATTAAACAGTTTAAGGGTCTCATAGGCATAAGAACAAACAGTTGGGGTGCCACATTTTTTAGTATTTGAATAAGCAAAAAGATGATTTCAATGAAGTTCCTAAGAGAAAGATATGGGGCATCAAACCACTCCATTGAAAAATGGCCACGAAAAAAGGGAAGCATTACCTGGCTGATTAAATATTTCTTGAACCCAGGATCAAAGCGTGACTGGAATTGAAATTGATACCCAATCCAAATATGAACAATAAAAACCCAATCCATATATGAAATCTGTTAGGGTTGAATGATTACCTTTCCAACTAACCCAGCGATCTCCTTTTCTTTGTAACATTTTGTCGAACACCTTTGGTGCACAAACCATTTCTCCCTTTTTTTATAGTACCTTAATGAGTAATGATTCCTGTTACATAAATTGTATGACAGAATTAGAGGATAATAATTGGGTAGGCACCTTCCCCGATTAAAGACTTACCATAGGTGGGTTCAATCGACCGATGAGAAAATATCACCTTTTCTGATTGCTTCTCAAAAAAAAATACCAACAGATTACAAGCCCAAGAAACAAAGATGTAGTAGCTCCTCGAGTTTCCTAGGTACAATAATCACACATAGACTGAGGTTAAAAAAAATGGAAGGTGTTTGTTCATAAAATCAGAACCGATAACGGGATTGAAGCAAACTGAAAATAGGAAAAGGAGATTGAGGATATTTGGTTAAAAGAAATCGGTAGGAGGAACTATATGGAAAGAACTGGAAGAAGGAGGATGCGGTGGATAACCGGTGGATGGATTTTGGGTTAGATATTGTTCCTAAGGAGCAAGACACCGGTGAGACATGGAGAAGGAGAAGCCGATGAGTTGTCGGTGGGTCGGCAATGGAAATCCAGGGACGTTGGTGGCAGTGAAGGAAAAGCAGGACTGAGACGGTGTCGACCGTCTAAGGCAATGGACGATTAGGAGGAATCGCAAGTGAACGATTAGGAGGAATAACTGCATCTTTGGTGGAGACGATGAGAATTGGTTTGATGGCGGCTGTGTTTAGGAGATTAGGGGAAGGTCCATGTAGTGTAATACGTATAAGATTGGTTATGTACTTAATATTATTGTACATGAGGTGTTGTACGTCTTAATTTTCAAGAAATGAACATAGATTAATATATATATATATATATATATATATATATATATATATAGAGATATATATATATAGAGGGTGAGGTTCAAGAGGACTATAATTAAATTAAGGAACCAATTTTTTTTTCAACTTTTTTAGAACTTATTTTGTTATAAAAAAAACAAAAAAGACAGAAATTATAAACTGTTTATCATTTTTCCAATGATATCAAATTTGATTTTTTTTTTTTTTTTACATCAATTTCACAATGTGAATCTTTGAAAAATTCACAAAGTGAATCCGGATTCACACGGTGAATCGAAAAATATTTTTCACATTCACCAATGTTAATACTATGAATTTAGATATTTTTAGGTTTTTTTTTCGATAAAGAATAAACTCTGGAAATTGAAAAAAAGATTTGGTTCCTGACAGACCCAATATTATGGTTCTTTATTGAACTTTTCCATATATTATATTATATATTATATATATATATATATATCTATATATCTATATATATATATTATATATATATAAAGATGGACAAAACAGCTTCCATCTTGATAAAATCAAACTAAACAACAGTATTAGACCGGATTAGGAAATCTTCGGATAAATGTACGAGGATTTGAAACTATAAATAATAGTAAAATGTTATTGATTTACATTATTTTTATTCAATCTTATTACAAGTATATTATAGAAGCCATAATCATTTCGTCATTTTCTTCACATTATATGAGCAAATTTCAAATAATGAAAAGGCATCATCAAATTAACAAAGAAGATCCTAAGCTATTAAATTTGACACATTAAACTTTATCGGGTGTCTCTACATTTTTCAGATGATAATACTTGTCAAGGAGCTTCTCTGTGTACTCTCCGAATGTAAGCAATTCATTAGCCTGTATCAACTGTATTGTAAAAAATAAAAAATGAGAAATATATATATATTTATATATATTATATATATATATATATATATATATATATTAGTGAAAGTTACTTTGTATTTGGATGACATTGCTATAATTGGGTAAATTTTTCAAACTACAATCTTGTAATTTAGAAAAGATTAAAGTAGGATGCTATAATAAACAAATCAATGAACATAACCATTGCTATTTCTTGCATTTAGCTCTTCAACTTTTTTATTAAGTCGTTATACTTAGAAAAATCTAGCAAACCATAGCATTTTACTTCCACTTTTTTTCTTATAGCATAATACTTTGATAATTCTACCAAATTATAGCATTGTTTTTTTTTTTTGTAGTTTCAAAAATCTACCAAATTATAGCATCAAAAGGGTGGTTATAACCTACCTCCTGATTGACATGCCCCGACTCCGGAAAATTAAGCTTTTCATCCCTGAAAATTAAAAAATTAGCAACAAATTATATTCTAACGAATGTTAATTTATAGGCAATATTACCAGTCAGGTTGCATAAAAAATGCAAAAGTTGAACGTTCAAGTCCTGTTGCTTTTTCTCCTTTTGGTGCCTGCAAATAAAATAAATTTTGCATTTCATTTCTACATTGATCTAAATGAAAAAATAAGGAAATAAATAAATAATAATAATAATAATAATAAAGTCAAGTGAACATACACGAACACAATGTGGTGTTGCACAAAGACGACCTCTTGAAAGTATTTCGGTTATGTTGCCAATTTGGTATGCAATTTCATCCTCCTTGTACATCACCTAATCCAAAATATACCAAATTATTATTTCAAGCAAACAAAAAATGAGAAGGGCATTTCCGTCTTTTGCCAAAGAAAGAAAGAATTATATATATATATATATATATATATATATATATATATATATATATATATATATATACTTTGACTATTTGACCGGTTCTTGTTTTGATATAAAGACCAGCAGTATTATCGGGGCATGGTATTTCTACACCGTCTTTGGTAAACATGGCATACGTGAGACCTACATTTTGAATTCAACCAAACATTACACAAATATAAAAATTTAATTTTAACTCAATTTATCAACATAAAATTTTTTCAATAAATCATTGAAATATGTTTAACGTTTAAGGAGAGTTTGTTTTTCTATTGTTGATGGTTGCAATCTAGAAAAACATGTCTAAACCTTTATAAAAAAGACTAAATATGGAACCATTTTTACACTTATAAATTGTTAAATACTTTTAAACTTTTTTATAAATAAATTAACTAGATTACAAAATAAAAATTAATGGCTAAAAAATTGTGTACCAGTGAGAGAACCATGATCTGTATGCCAGCCACACCATGATGACATGGAGTCATTATCATCAACATCATTACTACAAAAATTAAAAACCAAAAATTAAAAAAAAAAAAAAAAAAAGTTATGTTTACACATCAAGATTGGCCCAAATGCACTATTTCATTAGGGGTTTTAACATTTTTGTTTTGTGGGTCTCGTTTATATAATACTTGTAGTATTGTAATAAACTTGTAAACGTGTAGATGTGAAAAGACTATTTTACCCTTTTTCAGCAGGAAAGTAATACAGCAAACGACCTTTATGACACCGAGAACGGAACACAATCTGCTCAATCCCTTCATTGGACTGCATATCTATCTCATTCGACACTGTTCCATTGAGCATTAAAGAAACAATTACATATAAAAGTTCATAGATTTACAAAAACATTATTAAATTCAAGAATTAAAATATGATTATGGATATATATTGTAAAGAAATTTACCATATTTATCACAATGATATGCTACAAGTAAACCGACATCGAGAATAAGTTTTCCAAGCGCTTTAAAAGCTACATGCACAGCAAAAGATAAAATATATCAACATTCTAAAATGCTCATGAAGGGGCAAAATGGTAATTTCCGATTTATGGGTAATAAACATACCGACTTCAAGTTCAGGCAATGCAGTTTGAGGCCAAATATTTGATCCACAGTATGCAGGGTACCTGTGAAGCAAAGGATCATAGATTAGTTGCACCCCAAATGTGAACTAAAACTGATGGGATCAATATATTTATGACAATTACAAATGGGCAAAAGAGTAATTTCCTATTGAAACTTCTACAAAACAGGTAAAGGGTTTCAAGATTTTACCTTTGAAGTAGTAAAGCATCAGTAGTAGGTACATCTAATAATGGATTTGCATAAAAAGAACCTTTTAGCAGATCTGCATAATTATTAACATATAATCAGCAAATATATTTTATAACAGTTTATATATTATGGTTTTATCTAAAACATTTATGCTTCACACCAGGTTTTCCAGATTCAAGCTTCTCTTTTCCATGGCTCCATCCAAAGTTATATCTATATGTAAACAAATGTAGTGAAATTTTAGAGATATGCAATTTCCTAAATTTAAAATAAAAATTTGATAAATACATTGTTTCTGAAATATACAAGTTGTTTGTGGTAACCTGCTTTGAGGATCTTCTAGATCCTTCTTCACCTTTTCAGGAAGTTTGGCTAAAATAGGAGCAAGATTTAAAAGATTTTGTCTCAATACAGTGTACCCAGGAACCTACACAAAATGTAGAGTAGTTTCAGATGACAAATTTAATGCCATTTATTAAATGCAAAATCAATGAAAGTTATGTGGTTATAAGCGGATTGACAGATTAAATTAGCAAGAAATACCACTAAACTTTCATACATCAGATATTGATATAATTCCCAATCCATCTGGTCCAAATCCTTCTTCAATTTTCATGGACAGATCAGCATCTTTATCCTATTCACATGGGTAACAATTAACAAATAAAAACAAGGGTCAGCATATTAAAGAAATACAAACAAGATTCATACAAATTTTTATCAGTTTACTAAGATCAGAATCTTGAGGAGATGCTTGATGTTTCTTTATTGATTCTAATCAATATAACTTATTAAAAAATAAAAACAATACACACTAAACCACTCAATAGTCAATGCTATTGAAAATGTAACATTTCCTGTTCTACCAATTATTGAGCCAAAATCAACTATTTTCCCATCATTTTATATTGATTTGAATCCATAAGATAAATCTACTTTCTGGCTATCTAAGAAATTTACTATGGCGACCTTCAGGTAAAATTGTTTGGTGATAACCGATTATAATCATGACTTGTGATAATTTACAGACAAGATAATCAGATTTGAAGAAGCAATATATGTAAAATTACCTGATGATCCAATTATCTCATTCTAATTTTAATTAAGTAGAAGAACTTCCCTTAATTACTTTGCTTTCTTACCAATAAAAAATTATATGAACCTTTGACCTTTATGGAAGTTAAAAGCGGAATTGTAAGCGATAAAACTTACTTTAAGTTGCGTAAACGGAATGACAACCGTCCGGAGTGTGGGAGTCTGCGCGGCTGCGAGAGATCCCGACGTCATCTCAGGGATTGGACTGCGGCCCCGGGAAGAAAGGCGGAGACGGCGGCGATAATGACGCAAAGTGAGGAGGGATTAGGGATGGAAGAGGAAGAGAATTTTGGAAGTTTACTTGAAGCATTTGGTGATTTGAACGAACACGAAACGAGGAGGATACTGATGTTTGTTTTTGGACTTCAGCGCCGTTGCTTTTGCAAAACGACTCTTAGTAATTTACAAAAATGGTCCCTCAACTATTTGAGGAGTGCTGGTATTTGTATCAAACATTCCAAAATTCGAATCTCATAACCTTTAGTTGTAGTTCAAAATAGAAAAATATCTGAAAAGGTTAGAACTTAACGGGGAAACCCAAGTATCAGTTAACTTAAATTTATCCAGTTTATTTAACTTATACCCTTTTCTTTTTTCACTGATACTTTTTAGAGAAATATCCAAAAAAACATCCTAATATTTTTACCATAATTTAACAAAAAAATCCTAAATTAAAATTTGTTTAGGAAAAAACATGAACTATCGGTAAAAATAATGATTTAATCCGTTTTTTCCGATTTACCGGTTTCATTACTTACATGGTTTCATTAAAGTCATATTATTTTACCCTAATTTACGAATAAGTCACAAACTAAAATTTAGTAATGATTTGACATTTTTCTTCATGTAACATACATTTTATTTGTTTCATTGTTGACTTTGATACCTAGCCATTAAATTAGTTGATTAGATGGATACGATGGGGTATATAATGCTACATTTACTATAAAATTTGATATTCATCTCATCGGCTCATTTATGACTATGTATCTAGTTCAACAATGAAACCGGTAAAATGTGTGTTTCCAGGAAAAAAATGACAGGAAATGAGCTGATGTTTGATGAGATGGATACATTAGGTTACATAAAATTAAATATACAATTTAAAATTTCTTATAAACGTAAAAAATGACGAAATTGTTGCTAGTTTATGTATTATTGAAGTCTTCGTTGGATGTATTTTATATCTCAAAAAATATACAATACATCATAATATCAAGTTTTATGGTAAACATAACATTATATAACCTAACATATTCATCTCATCAACTCATTTAATGACTAGACGTCCAGGTTAGCAATGAAACCGGTAAAATTTATGTTACAGAGAGAAAATTATCAAATCATCACTAAATTTTAGTTTGAGATTTATTCGTAAATTAGTTTAAAACAATGAGACTTTAATGGAACCATGTAAATAATGAAACCGGAAAAAAGTAGTCAAATCGTCATTTTTACAGTAATTCATGTTTTTTTTTGTAAACAAATTTTAGTTATGGACTTTTCGTAAATTAGGGTAAAATATTAAGGATTTCTTTAATTTTTATTTACTTATTTGATTCATAAAAATAATAGAAAACCTAAATGGACTTATCCTTTAAGTACGTCAAACTTATCACATCTATTGTGATTTTTGTTCTTTTTATCAGATTTGTTTATGAGATATTTGTTTTCATATTATAGTTATGGTTATAACAAGAACATATATTTGTATATTTACCTTAAAAAAAATAGTAATTCTTGTAAAATCTTTTTGCACGTATGTTCAAATCTTATTACTTCGATACCAAAATATCATATATTTATTTTCCTTTGCGTCACATCCAAATACTTAAATTATGCATGAAATATATCCATTGCACATTAACAAAAGGTTTGACACAACATGCACATTGAAGGATCAATAAGAGCTAAACTTGAAATATTTTGGAACTTAGAATGCTAATTGCTAATCTAAATGTCTCCTTGCTATTTTTCCAAGACAAATTCCCCATGACTCAAACACTAAGTTCATCTGCCTCTGAGCCTAATGGTTTAAAGAGAGCTTCCACTTCACTTGCTTCAACTTCCTCTAAACTTGATGGATTCCACTCGGGATTCTAATTAAGATTCAAGAATATGAAAAAAAAAAAAAAAAATGTCAATATTATTACATCATAGACTTCATTTTTTTTCTTATTAAAGCAATTTTTCAAACCTGATCCTTATCCACCAATACTGCCCTAACCCCTTCAGCAAAATCACTTCTTATACAAGACCTTAAAGCAATTCGGTATTCGGTTTTCATAACACCATTTAACTATATATATACAACAAAACAATCATCATATCAAACAAAATTTCATTAAATCTAAAACCTAAATAAATAAATATATTACAAGTGAACTCACTGTGGATAATTCATGTTGGTTGTTTCTGCATGCAGATGCAACTCTAGAGAAATACGTTTGTGTAAGGAAAAGAGAAAATGGAGCTCCTTTCTTAATCCCCACAAGAGCATCTGTTGCCCACTGTGAAACTGCACACAATAAGGTGTTTCTTTTTACGAATTTGCCCCTATTAAGCCTAGTAAGTCAAAAAAAAAACAACTTTAATGCCTTGTATTCTTACCTGATGCATCAGTATTCTGCTGATACTTTTCCAGCTCTTCTGTAATTTCTTTAACAGATTTATTTGCACCAAATGTTGAAACTATATGAGGCAAAAGTGACTTCAATTTGGACTCTGACTCAGGGTTGCTACTATACTTCCCCAATATTGCTTCAATGTCATGATGTGGATCCTCAGAACTGTATACAAATCACAAATATACATGTGATATATATTATATTTATTGCTTATATGGAAATCAAAGGGAAAGTAAGAAATATACAATGTAGTTGACAACAGAGTGTCCTTAAGTGGGCCCAGGTTTCCAGATTGGACAAAATGTGTCCCAAGACCAACATAAAGTGCATCAGCTGGATTTGAAATCCTGGTCCCTGTGATTCCAAGATAAGCACCTGTGCATCGAATTTACAAATCAATAATCACATGAACATGATATTTACTACTATTATTTTGTTCTTTTTATGGCTGAATAATTTGTTAAGTTTTAGTGTCAATATTTACCAATTGATCCTTCTCCTGGAGTTTGTGCTGCTATGTAAGCAAATCCAACATCTGGAAACAAACCAATTCCATTCTCTGGCATAGCAAGAAGAGTTTTCTAGAAAAAAGAAGAAAAAAAAGATGATTACTTTATAAATTATGGTTTAGGATTATGTCATTATGATGAATTTTACATTTTTACATTTTTTACATTTTTACCACATGATTGTTGTTGGCTTACCTCTGTTATAATTCTGTAGCGACCATGTCCAGATAGGCCAATACCAAATCCCATTGTTACACCATCCATGAAGCTTATGTATGGCTTTTTGTACTCAAATATTTTGCAAATAAGAGAATATTCAGCAGCGAATACCTGTAGATATAAATAAGTTAGAGTTAGGATTATATAATTTGTAACATAATGTAACATATTTATGAAACCTTTTGCACAAGAGGTGTGTTTTTGTCCTTTTTGGATTTCAGCAACAACCCCCTTAATATCCATTCCTGCATGACCATGAATGTTTACACTTGTAAACCTTCCTTAACACTGAGATTATAATTGACATTCTAAAAGATGAATGGGAAAAATATATAAGTGATTATATCATTATCATCAACCTATATTTGTTGCAGAAATGGAGAAGATAGTTTATGGAAGACAATAGAACGCTGATTCTTGATACCTGCTGAAAAAGCACGTGATGAGCTGCCTTCAACCAGAACGCATTTCACCTTTGGGTCCGTTTCCCATTCATCAAGAAAACTTTTGTACCTTAAATCCATATCTGCAGTCGACAGAACAAATCTTTTTTGAATTCCAATTGGTGCTTCAAATCTAGAACTGTGGATGCACATAGTAAACTATATATTTGATGCATTTTGAACTCGTTGAAATGGAATTTGTATATTCACAAAGCTTAGGGTAGTGAAAAATCATGCAGAAGGGTTCATAATGGATCTAGCTTCAAAGAAACAAATTATACCTCGAGTGAAACAAATTCAACTTTCCAAACCGATTACGTCCCTTAAGAACTGAGATAATTGATATTAACCAAATTTATGTATCCTATATTAATCGAATCATTATCTCGTATTTCAATTTCAAACAGCAAAGCTCAAACTCTATCCCAACTTCATTATAGTTGATTACGATTACAATTATTCAATATCGTAGAATTACTTTCATTTCTATTAATCTGTACATAGATAGCATCATCTAAGGGGGTTAAATTTCTCGATGATTATGGCTGGAAGATAAGCAATAAGGAAAAAACATGTAACCTAGATTCATGGCGTTGAGAGCTTTTTGGACGATCGAGGGTGATAACAGCAACACCGTTTGGTAAGACGTTCCCTTTGACAAAGTCGGCGGCGGTGGCCATGGTCGCGTAAGCTGCTACAGAGAGAGATCGATTTGATATGTAGAGAGAGAAAGTGTGAGTGAACTTGGGGAAGACTGGAATCACTGATGATCCGAAGAGCATTCGCATTGCTTTTTACAGCAGTAGCTAGCAGGAGGACAAGTGAAGCTCGTAAAGATTCTCTTTTCTTTTTCTTTTTTCCCTTACTTTTTCTTTTTCTCATTTTGATATTTTTAGTATTTAAAACGATAAATAAGTTGCGAATAATTAGGTAAACTTATATCTATTCTTAATTATTTAAGTTGTCTGTTGTATAGACTTCTTATAATCTTATTGTTTCTCGAATTCCATCTGGAGTGAATTACATCACTTGTCTAGTCGTCTATATAATTTATCAAAAATCATACATTTGGTTTTCAATCTTTAATTTTTAACTTTTTACCTTCTTATTCTTACATTTCTTAGTGTTAAACCCTGACATGTGCAACACACATGAGGCCTGATGAGCATAGTTCCGATGAATCGCTTGTCATTGTCATTACTGTCATTCCCTATATTTGTCACAATTATACTCAAACTAACAATCTAAAGTATTAAACTGTGTGGCAAAAGAAACCTTTGTCTCCACTATAAAATTCATAAGCATTTTCATTTCTAATCATCAAACCCCAAATCTAATATGGCGCATTTTGTAAAGAAAATGGTGGTGTAGTGGAAGTTGAGAGCTAAGATGGGTCATTTGACTTCACAAATTGATCACCATATGTTAAATTTGTCAAAGATGTTGACAACTGTGACAACCCGGAACTTCTATCTTATACACTTAGTCAATTCAATCAGTGTTAAACTTGTTTTGATGACTTCTTGTGTTGTTTAAGGGTTCATTTAAGTGTTCTAAGCTTGAGTATGACCAAGGTTGAGGTTAGGAATGAGTCAGCAAAGTCGTATAGTGTCAAACCGGGCCATACACACCTCTAGGAGAAGTGTACGGCCGCACACATGGGTGTGCGGCCGCACACCCACCTCTTGGCAGCACACTCACTTCTTAGCAGCACTCTCACCCCTATATAAAGGGTAGACCCCTTTCCTTTCATTCCTTTCACTCCTTGGCAGCACACTACACTATTCTCTCAAGCTTCTTCAACCGTGAACCCTCCAAAGCTTCAAGAACGTGAGTAATTCATCCTCTAACTTGAAAACCATGAAAGACCACTCTATCTAAGCCTTAAGTGTGCAATATTCGTCATGTTCTTCGTGTTTGGAAGTGAGTGCGGCCGCACACCCCCATAAGGTGGTCGCACACTCCTAAAAGACCCTCCAAAGTGAGAGTTTGACTTACATCTTCGAGTTAGACATGACCCTAGCCTTGTTGCACCTTAAAGTTGGCATTTTGGACACAAACATGAAGGGTGTACAACCGCACACCCCTGTGTACGGCCGCACACACCCTTGTGCGGTAGCACACTCCCCTTGTGCGGCAGCACACTCCCGTGTGCGACCACACACACATCATAGGGTCGCAAACCCACTTCTAAGGCACTTAACTTGCACTACAACTGAGTATGGACCTAGAACACTTCATGAATGAAAGTATGGACCTTGAAAACACCCCCAAGACACCTTCCATCATGGGTGTACGGCCGCACACCCCATGGGTCGCACACCCATGGCCGCACACACACTCAAGGTGGCCATACACTCCCCTTACTCAATCCTACAAGGTTCTAACACTTGGTGCAAGTAGTTCCAAGTCCCTAGAGTGATTCTCTATCGTATCTAGTAGTGGAATACCTTCATTTGACTCATATATGTGTCATTACATGTTATTAGGATCAAATTGAGTTCGAGGTTTCACTTGACACTCAACATCTCGTACCGATCTTTCATACAAACTACTCGCTCAAGGTGAGTTCATACCCCTACATTTTCCGTGTTTTTAATGATTTCAGGGGGGGGGGGGGAATACAAGCCAAACATAAATGCTTTTGTAAACTAATACAAAGAGCTTTTAACAAGTATAAAACTCATGCAATTCCCATACTTTAACCCTTTTGTATTGTGTTGAGCATAAGGGACGTTTTACAACTCATAACCGAAATTGCATAGTTTTCCGGACTCGATATTCACACTATACATGCAAACTATAATAGGAATAGTTTGGGATTTTCGAAACGTAACAAGTACAGAGATTTTCACTACAAAACATATAAACTATGACAGATTTACTTCATGGTATACATCACTACATGAACATGGCATTTCATAACTATAATTGTCACTACATACGGTATACATACGGATTTCACTACGGTATAACACTACAGCACTACATGTAAACTAGATTGTACGATATCGTGAGGCACTACTTCAAAACTGTACCCTTGGGTGTACAGGGCTAAATCCTATCATAGTATAACCAGAGTCTCCTGGAGGGAGAGCGTGAGATTTGTGAATAGATCTATTCGGGACTGACAATCCCACACCCGAACTGCTAGCTACAGTTAGGCAGGCATGCCTAGGGTAACAAATGTCATTTAACTCAACGCCTGAAGAACGTTGGAAATGTCTCTAGTCATATCAAGTATGGTTATACGACTCACAATATGTATAAATCACTTTGGTTTACAAGTTGTCACTCTTCAATAGTTTTATTTTTACTAAATAGAACTACTACGCACTACGACTGGAGGATTCCAGGGATTTCACTACATTGTTTTATTTTAAGTAATAAAACACACTACGTATATTGGCGATAGCCAGGGTTTGCAAACAGAACCGATTATACAATGATTTTCATACGGAATACTTACATATCATGATTGGCATTAGCTAGTCACATGAAGTAGTATTTTCGCATACCACTACAGTTTTCAGTAATGAACATTCATGGTTTTATACAGAAATGATAACACTACACTCTCACTAAAGAAAATATCGGATTTTTTGGAAATATACGAACATTCTTACAAATTCATCAACGAGTTTTCATTACAAAATACCTCTTATGAACTCACCAGCTTTATGCTGATATTTTTCAAACTGCTTGTATTCTTAGGAAATCAGTAGACAGGTACCTGCTGGATTTTTGAGAAGCTGGAGTAATAAGAGTCTTATGTTTGTATTTTACATACTTTGGATGTATTTCAAACAAGTTTCAAACTGATGTAAACTTTTTTTATATATGTATTCACTGTAATGGTTGTGTTGCTATGATTGCTATTATACATTGGTTGTGATGCTACACATGACATCCTCTACCCCAGAACGTTTCCACCATTCCGGTTTTGGGGTGTGACAACAACTAACTCATTCACCTTTACATTAAACATACTCAAACTAGCATACAAAATCTATTTCATGGCACCTGATAAATGCAAAAATAAGATAAAACAAGTAACTGGAATCAAATGAAGCCTAGTGATCAACTATATTTGGAATATTATGAGGAACATGAGGATTTTCATCTATGTTTCATTTATAGATGTTGGGGAATGCTTATGATGGTGATTCTAAAGAGCAATTTTATATAAATATGTTTTTGATAAGTGACTTTGATTTTCATGAAGATGTGAATGTATATGGGATAGAAGTACATATCAAGGAAACAAATCTTGGAAATGATGTACCAGATTAATGATCGTCTAGTTGTATTTGGGAGAAAAATGCATACAAGAAGGTTACACAATGAATGAAAATGAAACCCAATTTTAGTATTTTCGGTATTTAAATCTTTTTAAAAGTTATCTATGTTTGTTATCAAATTCAAACGGTGGTTAATATTTACCAATTTTATCTTTATACAACTCTTATGTGTTGTTTGTTTTTTTTTTCTAAAATCTCTTTTAGCCACTTTTGTCTGCCGGAGGATAGACATTTTTGTTGTAGAATGTTTGTTTTTTAGAAGACCACAGACCTAAAAAAAGTTTGTGTGTCTTTTTTTTTCCTAGAAGACATGACACAGACTCTTTCAAATGCTAAAATAAAATAAAAAACACACGCTCCACGTGACGTGTTTATCATGTTTAATCTCATTAACACATTTAAACCTTGTCGAAAAAAGAGATAAATCCCACTAAAAAGGTCTTTAAAAAAATATTTAATTTCTTAAAATTATAACAAATTTTAAGTGCAAAATGATAGGATACCACATATAGTACTTGTTTAGACGCTACTATGGACTTCTCCCTTGCTTTTATTACAGGGAAAATGACTCTTGAGGGTAACTAACTGTTGCGTTTGTTCTCATTTGACCCCTTTCCTTTTTTGTGTACTCAATATACCATCGAACCTGTTGTTTGTGTTCACCATAACCCTTTTGACCGGCTTTTGACCTGTGATAACCGATCAAAGGGTTATGGTGATCACAAACAACAAGTTGAATGGTATATTGAGTAAAAAAAAAGGAAATTGACCAAAATGAGAACAAATGCAACAGTTGGTTACCCTCCTGATTCATTTTCCCTTTACTCATTTACAACAAATCCTACGTCATCTCCTGCTGATATTAATGACTTTATGAGATTCATTCTTGCTTCTCTTAAAAACATAACCCACGAAAGAACATTATTCATACATGTACAACTTTGTAATGCACATGAATATTTATTAGAGGAATCTTGACTAAGCAGGTGCATTTCATGACTACATTTACATTTGCAATCAAATGATTTATCGTATCATGGATTTTAGACAAGTCTACAAACGAATGGAATCACAAGTGCTGTGATTTTTTAGTTTACTTAGATTTAAGATCGAATTCATGGGATAAGATACATCAATATGTACAATATCATACAGGCTTTGCAGACACATCACCACAATATACCGTGGTAAACATTTATGCTGATAAATATATCTCTCATACACAGTCATATCCTTTTGCAGAGAAGTGTTGACAGCTAACCACAGTAAACATAGCATAGACCATGTTTTAACGAAGTTGCCCCTCCGAAACGCTCTTCATATACGTTATGGCCAAAGAAGGTTGCAGTCTTTGATAATTTTACAACTTTAATTTCATTTAACTTTTCGGGGAAAATGACTCAAGAGGGTAACCAACTATTGAGTTTGTTCTCATTTGGTCTCTTTCCTTTTTTTCGTACTCGATATACCATCGAACTTGTTGTTTGTGTTCACCATAACCATTTGACCGGCTATCACAGGTCAAAAGCCGTGATAGCCGGTCAAAAGGGTTATGGTGAACACAAACAACAAGTTCGATGGTATATTGAGTACAAAAAAAATGAAATTGACCAAATAAAAATAAACGCAACAGTTAGTTACCTTTAAGAGTCATTTTTCCTTTATTATATAGGGATATATCAAGTAAACTTGTTTTACCATGGACTTCTCCCTTGCTATTTTTTTTTTACCATGGACTTCTCCCTTGCTTATGGCATATATCAAGTAAAATTTTCTATACAACATCCGATATGAATAGGTTTTCTTTGAACTCCATATATAGTTTACACTCACTTTCCTCATCCTATGTTAGTTATTAAAATTTGTATTAAATTTCAATGTTGTAAAATTATAATTATTGAAAAAAAAAATTAAATTAAAAAAAAATAGTTTGTTTCAACTTCAGTTGTAGCAACCTGCAAAATATAAAAAATAAATAGTTGCAGACTATAAACGTTTAATTTACCTTTTCTTCTATACGTGCATTTCTTAAGGTTCCACAAAGACCATATATCACATATATGATATGGTTAGGTCTGACCATGCCCAAATGTAGCCACAAGTTCAAACTCTTAGATGGCAAACTTTAAATTTATCGTGTTTATTAATAATGGTTGTACAATCTTTATTTTACAAAAAATATTTTGTATTACGAGTATATTGCATGCATACAAAAATATTTGTGAGCACAATTAAAAACATTTTTAAACATTTTTACTAAAACAATTTTTACACACATAAAAACACACAAACACACACAAAAAAAAAAAAAAAAAAAACCGATTCTAAACCCATTTTAGAAGTGGTTAAAAGTTTTACAAAATAAACTCTTTTAATTTCAAAACTTAATTATGCTTTTAAGAGTTTCATAAACAATTCACGGCTATAAAATAATAATAATAAAATTTAAACACGTAGTTTAATAATCAACAGTTAACTAAAAGAAATCATGAATTGCCCATGCCTAAAAATCTTATGATTATTCCATGAACCACCATAAAATAACGACCCTAAAAAATCAAAAAATAATTTTTCCCAAAAATATGATTTAATTTAATTTTTAGGGGTTTCATCGGAAACATCTGGCACTACTGCCACCAACCCTACCGTATGTGGTGGGCTGCTCTACCGAGGAAGGCAAGAGAGGCGGCCCACCTTCGGTCCGAGCCTTGTGAGCTGACTCACATGATCGGTTGTCTCCTTTGGGCCTGGTTAGTTGCTTCTAAAGTCGGCTTGCAATTTGGACTTTAGGCTGCAAAGACTGTTGGGCCAAGGCAGCTTTAGGCTTGAGTAGTCCCAAACCGATAATAGTAACAATAATCACAAGCAACCAAAATATGTCAAATCGGGGAAAAAGGAATGTGTGAATTATAAACATCCAACGAGCAAATGACTTTGATGATAACATTATTAGTCATGTATGTGAAATATTGATTATGTTAATACTTTCTAAAAGTTAAAACATCTAATGTAACACTTATATTTTGGGGCTAGAAATTTTGCTCATTATCATAAATTATTTTAAAAATTTTAATAAAAATAAATATAGTTAAAAGTTAATAATATAAGTGAAATTAAAATAAATAAAGTTAATGGACTTTAAAAAATTCAAGTTAATTGGAAGGTTAATTTGGGTCGAATCAAAATTTTAAAGTTTGGGTTTGAGAGCTTTATGTCACTTGAGAAATCATTTGATGTCAACGCTAAGAGACTTATAGATAACGTTACATTAATAGGAGCGGGAGATATTCCAACTAGATTGAATAATTTGGTGAGGTTTGCTAAAAAGACACCCCATTTTTCTATATAGACACCCTATTTGATTTTTAAGATATTTTTATTGGTTGAATTTGCATTGTTTTCCGAAAAAGTAAATTCTAAATAGTTTATTATAGGTTGACTTTTAATAAAAATGTTCATAGAGTGTCTAAGGAGTGTCAATTTAACAACACCCTTTGGTTAATTTGGTTCCCATTAAGTTGAATGTGTTACCTAATACGAATAAACAAAGTGCCTACTAGGCTACTAAGTTAAATGGATAAACAAAAAATTAATGTGGACTTTTTAATATTATTCTCTTGTCATGTGGCATCTTCTATCAAGATCGGGTGGGATATTGATATCCCTTTTTTTTTCTACATCTTCGGCCAATCATGTGGCGCTTAATATGATTCAAAGAGATATTTGATGGAGTTGTTATCATGATGATATTTGGAGCGCTTTTAATAAAATTGTATCGCGATCATTATGTTGCTTTTTAATAGAAGCACTGAGTTAGAAATTAACTAAGGGGATGTTTGTTTTGCACTTACCGGGTCCGGTCAGAACTGACTGCTGACTTGGTCAGCAGTCAGCCCGTTTGATAAAGGTGAAGTTTGGCTGACTCGGTCCGTTAGTGCTGACCAAACTCGCTTACTCGGTCCATCAAAATATAGCGGCCGACCCAAACAGAAATTACCCCTCGTTTTTTTATGCTCTTCGCCCTAAAAGAAAAAAACGAGAACGCCATTCATCTTTAGTTGCACTACCTTCGACAGAAATTGACGACTGCACATGCGCTTCCTTCGACCGGCGACACCTCATCTGCAACTACTAGCGGCGACCTCCACAGTTGTGCAAGTGCATTTTCTTCTTTGCTTTTTTTTCTCTGAAATCAATTGAGACTTGAGAAGGATTTGTAGGTGCTATGCATGAAATCAAATGATTGTGTATGAAATCCGAATTTGTGATTATGAAATCACATCATGTGAATGAAATCCAATTTTTTTTTTTCTGAAATCAGTTGACAATGTTACATTTGTATGTCTTTGTGATTATTATTGTTTTAAATCCACTGAAGAACCTTTTTTTCCTTTGTATCATTCACTCTTATTCGCCCATCCGTGATTTCTCAGAATCATTCTTGTGTTGGGTGCTATATTTATATAAATTGAGTTTTTGATTCGATTTTATTGTTGAAGAACCTTTTTTCCTTTGTTCTTCCAACGATGGTAACGCTCTCCATAGCTATTTCAGAATTTGAAGAAGGAGACTTCAAGAAGTTGAAGTATAAACCCCTACAAGTTGGTGTCTTCAATTTGTTAAAGAAAAGGTTAGAATGGATCAAGTTTAGCTTAAGGGGAAGTGTTGAAGTTAAGCTAAACTTTCTTAATTAGAAGTGTATATATATGTATGTAAATCTGATGTAAATTGTTGTTGGGTTATATCAATAAAGTTCTTTGTTTGTGTACACACCCACCCTCTCGTTGCTTCCCTTTTTTATTTTTTATCTTTTCTCCACTTTTGTGTTAATCTCTATTTGAACCCAACAAGGTTTGCTACTTGATGCTGATAAAAAAAAGTATGTACTTGGATTGCTGGATGTGCTCTCTAATAATATAACATTCAAGTTTGTTTCTATGTGTGTATCGTGTGTATGTGTATAACTTGATGACAGCTGAATAATGTAGATAACTAATTTTAGTTATGTTAAAATCTTGTCAACTCTTGAAACATTCAAGGACCATGGCATTAACTAGTAACCAATTTTTATATATATATTTTTGTGGTGGAATATTGTTGGAGTGATATTAATGCTAATATTCATATTTAGTGTAAAGATTATAGTATTCATCGGTGATGACTCAACCTGTAACGATGTTGCCAACATTTTTTTGGATTGTAAAGGAATTATTTATACGTAAATATTATAAATTAAATGGTAAATCATAAAGGAGTGATAATAAAAAAATGTTGTTTGAGGGTAATATATACATTTTGTACGGTCAGTCAGATACAAAATCAAACAACAAGTTTCAGTAAGAAGTTAACTCAGTCAGCTCTGACCCAATTAGCAACTATCAAACGACCCGTAAGTTGGTTAACTACACAAAGAGAAATAAATGTTATTTTCTCTTTTTAATTTTTTTTTTTACTTATCTTGCTAGTAGTAGTAATACTAATAATTTGTCCACAATCCACCATATCAGGTGTATGAGAAAGGTGTCTCTCCCTCAAGTGGTCGTTCTAAAAAAATAGTAATAAAATCTCTCTTGCTTTTTTTTTCATTAAAAAGAAGCATTCGAGTACTTTAAAAATGAAAGTGAATAGCTAATTACTTTTTTGATCGCATAGTTCATTACTAGACAAAGATGCCAGAGAAAATGGACCCTGTTAAATACTTTGATAAATGCTTCTGTGACTAGACAAAATAAATATGAATACTTTTAATTGCAAATTAATAAAAAGTTGATAAATTGGTTAATACCAAAGAAAATAAGAAATTACCTAAAAAAACGTCCAACACAAGTTCAGCAACTGTATCCGCTTTTCCTATCCATGAAGAAAAAATACCTATACAAAAACCAATCAAAAATAGTTTTAGTCTTATTAATCTCACAACTCTAACGATAATTAATACTTTAATAATAATAATAATAATAATAATAATAATAATAATAATAATAAACTCACTGGTTTTTTGAATTAATGCCAAAGCTTACTACAAAACCCATTTCTAGGCCGCTTAACATTTATAACATCAGCAAACGAGTGAACCAACTGTTCAGACAAACTACACGGATCATCAATCAACGTCTGAATAAACGTATTAACCACTCTCCTTTCCTGTTCAGTTGACCTCAAACCAAACCAAGTCAACAACTTCAACCTAAACTCTTGCTTTATATACCCTTGACACTCTAACCACCTCATAATCTTCACACAATACTCAAAATTCTCATCCAATCCACCCCCCACTCCCCCACCTTTCACCGGCGACCCATTTATCAACGTACTATCACAATCATGCATCTCAGTCTCAGTCTCAGTCCCAGTCTCTGCTCCAGTCTCGGTCTCAGTCTCAATCAAACTCGCCCCCCGTTTTCGGGACACCCAATTTTCCGACTCATGTTCGCCGGAATCAACCGCTTCATTCAAATCCGGTACGGTTGCAATGTTTAAATCGAGACCGGTGCCGGTTGTTGTCACCGGAGGGGTTTCCGGTTTGATTATCCGGTCTAAGTAACCGTGTTCTTGAGCCCAGGCTAACCGGAGAATCTTTCCGAGTTCCCGGATTTTGAATCCGGAATCCGATTCCACGTCTTTTTGACCCGGTGTTCCTTCACGGTTGACCGGGTGGTTTTTATGGATTATTTCTTTGCTTCCGGTGAAGCATTTGGCTTCTGAGTGTCCTAAATCGCCGGATTCAGTGTAGGACACGACTCTAAATACATATTCGGTGCATGGTTGCATATTTGAGATTAGAATTCTTCTTTGGGATCTTGGAAATGTTGCGATTGGATCTTTTGTTAGTGTTGTTTCGGTTGTTTTTGAGTACCATAGTTTGAATCCGATTATATCGTTTGATAATGTGGTTGATAGTTCAATTAAAACAAGGACTACAGAAGAGGATGTTATTTCTTCAAAGATGAACTTGCATGCTGCAGGAAGTGTTAGTGACCCTTCTGCAAAGGGTAAATAAATGTGGGATTTTATAAACTGAGTTGGAGTTGAACATGAGAAGAGAAAAGTTTGTTACCTTTGGTAATTTGGGTTGTGGTGGAAATTTTGGAGAGTTGATCAGCTTTTTGGATTACAGTTGAACAAAGTGATTGGACTTCGTTTGCGACAGTTAGTCTGCTTACAATGCCTCTAGCCATTTTGGCTGAGACTCCACTTAGTGGGCCCACTTCGGTTTCTAATATGGATTTGGCTTCTTTAACAAATTTGTGAAGCTCTTGAAACCTTGATGTTCCATCTAAAAGTCTGTAACTTAAATATATTCTGTAACAGAGGCTATCAACACGTCGTGCATCTTTAGCGATTGTTAACTGCTTCTTCCAATATCTGCAAGAATATTATTACTTTAAGTATTTTCTATATTATATGTAAATGGTTAAATGCATATGTTAAAAGAGGAAAAACAAAAACTGACCCAAGTATTCCTGAAACTTTACCACAAGAAGCACAACAGTAACTCCCATCAAGCTGCATTAATTGGCCAAGATTCATAACGCCTACTTTTTTCTGCTCAAGGGCACATTCAATGTGACAAGATAAACCACAAGATTCTCCATTTGATGAATCTGAAGAACATTCTAACCATAAACTTGGATCCTTGTTATCATCAAACAAATGGCAAATGCAGCAAGAACATCTCTTGCAGAAAGTATCAGTTACAGATAAAACAGCTCTACAAGCAGAGTTTTTGCAGATCCATGTATCGGAAAACTTAGCATCGGAATGTGATTCCGGAGGAATCCGAATAGGGGTTTCACGTTTCCTGTTCTGTTTCCGGGGTTGCTGGTGTTTGTTGGGACTTGAGGATTCCTTTTGGGGATCTTGATTCTTTAATATCTTTTTACTTAATTTTGGTTCGGACATTTTAGGTTTTGATGAAGCTGATTGCTTTTTTCCCTTTTCAGAACAGGAATGGAATAGGTCTTTCCGGGGTCCGGATTTCACAAACTCTTGAATTGGCTTTGGAGTTCTTGAAGCATCATCTGAGTGTCCGTTTTTCTCTGGGGTGTTTTGAACACTGGAAGAAAGACTTTGAACACCTGGACACACAAAGAAAAACCAAATTAGTTGTGAAAATATAAATGAAAATTGAAAAGCATACTTTATGACTTTATGTTTCTATTCTAAACAACCTACTCATAATACTGACTATATATAAAGGGTAAGAATGGAAAAGGGTATATCAAGTGGATGATGTCATGATGGAAATGTATATCACCCTCACCTTTTTTTTACAACTTCTTCCATACAATAAAAAGGTTCTCTAAATCAACATCTGCAAGAGCATGTCAACCATTTCATACATCATTCTTTTGCTTGGCATTCTTTAAAAAAACTGTGAAATGAAACCAAGTTGACAATTTAGTTGCCATGTTCTGATCTACATTTCTTATGCAGATTTTCAAGCACTCTGTTTGTAGTTTGGGTATTACAAGGGTTTGTGTATATGTGAATGGATTTGGATAGTTTATGTTTTCAGTTTCTTGATACATGCTTCAGTGTACATTGTAATACAGTTGTTATACATGAATCAGAATCAGTATGTCAATACCAATAAGAAGATGGCATTTGAGAATATGATGCAAGAAATTAGTTAGAGGTATCAAGTTCTCACCTTTAGCAACAAGTTTATCATCTGTGTCCATGATGTTCAAGTAACCCCCCCTGTGATGAAATAGCATTGAAAATTTAGTATTATTGTGACTGATTACTGATATCTGATCAAATTAGTATTTAGCATATATATAAGGAAGAAACACAATGCCACAATTTCAATGGAGGAAGAAAGTTAAGCCCAACTCAATGAGAGGATAATCATAATCGTACAAGATAGCAACTGTAATAAGCAAGAAAAAGCATCATACATTTGAGTTTAAAGCACAAGTTCACCCTATCAATTCACAGATTTGAGTTAGTGCTACTGATTATTAGGTGTTTTTCTTAACAACCTTTGTAATATCTCATAAAGCAAAATGGATAGAAAAGATCAATGAACTTTTAAGGTTTTATCACTTACATGCCTCAGAAATATTTTTAACTTCTCACAACCATATCAATTACATAATTTTCATCCAATTAAACATAGTCAATTTGGTTGAGAACTTGAGAGTTGAGATTATTTACATACTGTCCATCATATTATTATTTCTTCATCCCTGATAAATCTTTTTGCTAAGGTATGCAACTGAAAAGGGAACAAAATTAAGATATCACTTTATCTATGGTTCCCTATCTCACAACAAAGCACAATGTGTTATACTAATGACATCAAAAATCAGAACCTTTTCACATAAACATGCTTTAGTTAAAGCCACGCCTCCAAAAAGATTAAAGGGAGCACATTTAACTTTAATTATCACTTATTCTCACTATCCTCTTAATACATTGTTGAATCCATATGCAAACAAGGAACAAACAATGCTGAAAAATAAACAAACTCATTGCAACAAAATAGTCAACCTTCTCCCCTAAAATCCGGATACATAACGTATGAATTGACACACAATTGTCGAAAAATAAAAAATTCATACATAGTATACGCAAAATACTGCAAAACAAACTATATACACGAATGATAATCCATCACAATCTCAAAAAAACAGTGGATCCGAACACATAAGCACAAAAAGCAGTCGATGAACCACAAGTTGTGAAGAAACACAATTATACCTATAAATACAGCTAACATATATGTAATTATATACTATAAAGATAATCATGAATCAAGAGGAGATACCTGTGAAAAATGTGCGAGGAGAGACAAACTGAGAGAGGGAATTAGGGTTTTTGATTATGGAGATTGAGAGGTTTTTCTATGCGAACATAAAAAGGAAAAAAAAAAAAAAATCTCTGCGACTTTTGGTGGATTCTGAGAATTTTTGCTTTGATATATATGGATTTTGTTGAACGCTTAAATAGGAAGCTTGGAAATTTTGGTCGCTAGGGTGAAGAGATTCACGCGAGCGCAGAGCGCGTGAGAAAGTAGATTCAGTTAAAAAAGGTAAGTAGTTGTTGCTGAGCCGTAAAACGTACACCTAACGCTTTACTGGCGACCTGTTGCGTACTCGCTCTGCATTCCGGTTGGGTTCCATTTACTTTCTTTTAAGTCCTTTCACTTCTAACGATTAACAAGTCAGCCCCCTGTGCTTATTTCCAAGCAAATTATCGTATCCCCAAAGTTAATTTTTAAAATAAATCACAAAAATGGTGATACTTAAATATGCAAGTTTTATTTTAATTCGAAATTTATGAATAAGTTGTGTGTTAACCTTTATTTAGTTGCATTGTGTCGTCTCTTACAACCATAAACAAGTAAAGAAATTGCTCTTATTTTTTTACTTTAAAAAAAAAAGAATCATAATCTAATTACACATTTTTATGCAAATCATTAAACCAAAATACATATATTTAATGACATTCATCACAAAAACAACAAATAACACAACTTCATGCAACCAAGTCCCAAACGGGACATGATGTGAAGCGATAAGTAGTAAGAATGTGGTAGCTTCTTGAAGTTACTTGAATCTCTTAGATTAATTGATCACAAAGGGAAATTCGGGTCAACCGTAATATGGAGGTATGTCTTGGGATTACGCATTGACACTCAATTTAGGGGTGTTTAACGAGATAGATTGTTATGAACTTTTAGAGAGATTTTGGGAATTGAGCATTGCTTATCGATACCTCCCATGAGGGAGACAATGCCCTTCTCTTGCAACATATGAGACCAAATGTACTTTGCTTTTGCAGGTGAGCATAGGTGGCGCACGATCCTATGTGGTGTTTAAGGCATGTCTTTTGGTGCCACTATGGATGTTGGGTTATAGACGGATGATTACAAACTTCGACCATGTTTTTCCCTTGGTTATGTTTGTGGCTCGGTCTAAAGGTTTGTCTTGTGTGGGTCTTATAGTATTGTTATTAAGCTTCACTATTTGCCGAAGTGTTAGGATCTTTATTCGAAGTCAGACCTGTTGGGGGGTTCACCACTATGTCCCCTCGGTCTGAGATGTAATATTATGATCGTTATGAGATTATACGTCAGACTTGAATCAAGTGTCGTAGCTTCGATCCTAATAATTATGGTGGGAAAGTCTTTAAACACATTTGTTATGATTTCCCATACCAGTTTTATAGGTGCGTCAGCCAACTTTATCAGTGTTTTTCCCCTTTTGTGATTTTTTAGGTCATCAAGAGATGATGTTTGAAGTTCGCTTATGATGCTTATAAAATAGGGATTTCTTACCATACATTTTCTATATAGTCGTTACCATTGTTGTTTCTTTTTTTTTTTGCGATTTAGGTTTTCGTTTTCCTTTTTTGTACTGATAACGATAACGACAAAGGATTAAGGGATCAATGTATTGGTTTCTTTTATAACGATAGAGCGGGTGTGAAGGTTATGGTAGTTTTCCATTTTGGAGATGACTATTGTGTTCTTCTCGAACTAGATACGCCGACTACACAAGCGTATGGGGGAAAAGTGTGTGTTTATTTGAAATCTCCAAATTTTGGGTTTCCCCTTCCATTGAGTTACTTTGTGGTAGATATATTGGAGTTTTATCATATATATATATATATATATATATATATATATATATATATATATATATATTGTACGTTTGAAGCCCAATGTTATTGGAAAGTTAGTCGTATTTGAGATGATATGTTGGAGTCGGGAAGTGGTCTTGATCATTTATCTCTTTCGGTGGTATTTCCCAATGCGATGGCACCCAGTTTTAGTTGAATGATGTGTATATGGTAATTCCTAACGAGGTCACATATAAAATCAAAATCATTAAACTTGGGGCTTGCCTCCAACAATTTCGTATAGACACTTATTTTACCACGAGGTGCTCCTACAATTCTATCGCCAAGCCTAAATTCCATAACCACATCAGCATCCCTAAAAGCAAACCTCTAAAGTCTAAATAATCTATAATAGTATTGCCTATATAATAACCTAGACAACTTCTCCTGTATGTTTATCCTATGATGTTTACAACAAAACAAAAAAATGATGGAAACAAAGAAAGTCAAAAAAGACAATTAAGAAAATAATATAAGGGAAGATGTAAATAAGGACATGGAACCTAAACTTTTCCATTTTATACAAAAGGAAATGGGTGAGATTTTTCAAAACCATTATGAGTCATTAAATAAACTAATAAAACATATGTCACTGCATTTATGTCAACCGCTAAAAGATAAAATGAAAGTATCAGACAACAAACATATGATCTAACAACTTGAGTCGAGTATATGTTTCATCAACAAGTCCAAATCTTGTTGACACTTTCCACATCAACACACTTCATATTAGGTAAGGCGTATCAATATACCATATCATTGGCACAACGATAATATATGTGCCTCCACCATGCCAAACGATAGCGCGTATCATGATGACATGCAATTTGTCGTTAAGATACGCTAAAGAACATGACAAAACAATAAGCTAATGTGCATCATGATAGAACCATAAAACTTAACCTCCTCAAAAGGTTACAACCATAGTGCTACCAAAAGGCTGACGACATCTGGTTGTTTGCACACAAAAGGCAACTTTATAGATATATTGTGCATCAAACAACAAATAATCTTATCTCATTATTTTTAGGGTAGGAGCCTCCCACCACAAATCCCCAATAAGGACAAATATTAATGTGTAACCTATAAGTACAAGAGTCACTACATATAAAATTGTAACGTCTCTAGACTTTCTTTAACTCACTTACTTTGGTTCAATATTGATTTGACCGCTAGAGTGTATCCTCGAGATACTCTTAGGATAAATTTGATCCTATTTTTTATAGTTATTTTTTTTAAATCATGTCATTAAATACCATCAAACCACACTCAACCCAAAAGATAGTGTCCAATCCTCCTACTTTGAACCACACACAGAAAAAAAGGACTTTTTGAATAACAGTCAGGTCTCGTTTGATAGTTGCTGACTGAGAAAGTGCTGACTAGGAAATGTCTGTCTTGGTAAGAAATCCTGATTGGATAAGAAACCATGTTGTTTGATTGTACATCTAACTGAATATGCCGACGGATGAGAAATGACCATTTTACCTTATTTCTCTATACAATGTTTGATGAAGCTGCTGAAGAATTATAAAAACATACAAATTTTCATACAAAATGTAAATTACACACAAATCCTTTAAAATATAAATCCTCAATTACACCAAACACTAGCAAACCTATACAAAAAACAGCTTCTTGAATATAATGAATGCAAAAACAAGTAATTGTAGCTACAATACTTTTCATCTACATTTTATACCATAAATTCACACTTCAAATACAAACCCCCACCTCAATATACTCTGGAATCACCAATTTCGGAGATGTTTTCAATTTCAATGGGGGGAACAACTTCAATCAAGATCATCAGAAAATCAATCCACACATTCCTCCAAAGCTACAATCACTTCAAATTGCATCCCTTTTTAGCTCTTCCTTTCTCACTATCAATCCTCCTCTTATCATCTATTTCACATGATTTCATTTCCCTCCAACACACAATCCATTTCCGCCTTCCGTCCCTATTTGATGCCACTGGAATCCCAGTTTCATCTCAATTCTTCTCATCTTTCAACCTCAAACTCTCCCAAACCATCACATCAACAATACTACTCCTACCTTTTATTAGCAAAAATCAGCAAAAATATGAACTTATCAGCAAAAAATCAGCAAAATCAAGCATGAATAAATTCATGCGTTCAGGTATGTGTGATCGGATATGTATCTATGTGTTCATGTATGAATAAATTCAACAAAGGAACATACAACAACAAAAACAACAAATCACTTGAAAAATCGGAACTTTCAACAGCAAAATCATCAAAGGAACATAACAATAGCAAAATCATCAAAGGAACATAACAACAGCAAAAATCGAAACTTGTATCCTTCTCAACAGCAAAAATCGAAACTTGTAGAGAAATATTGGGTCTAAGATGGCAAAAATCGGAACTTTTTTAGATAAAATCGGAACATGAAAATAGAAACGTACCTGATGAGATGGGGAAGGAGCTTCGATCGGTGGGTGGAAGAGGAAGAATGGGGTCGACTTTGCTTGGTGGTTGCTGGTGAAGAAAGGAGCTGCTGAAAGAGGAGAAGAAAGAGAGTCGCTAGAAGATACGTTAGACAAGGGTACCGGTGGAAACCTTTCTCTTTTTTCTCGGTCAGCTGATTTTCAACTTCTTTCCCAATCAACTTTTTCTTTCCGACTTAGACGCACAAAAAATATTTATCAAACAAATTTAGCTGACCGAGTCAGCCAAAAAGGTCTGACCCGACTCGGTCAGACGAGTATTAAACAGGGCCTTAGTAATAAATATAAAATTCAAAAACTATAAACGAGTATACAATATATTTTTAGATAAATTATATAAATCCTTCATGTGTGGTTTGGAATACTTTCCACCTTTCATCTTTATCTTTCTTTTTTTCACTATAATGGTCAAATGGTTTGATTTTGTTTCGATTTTAGTCCAAGATCAAAATTAAAAGGACTATTTTACCATTAATGATATCTTAAATCATTTAAATTATTTTATTATTATTAAATAAAATAAAAATTGCTATTCTTTCCTCCCATAAAACTCACCAATCATCTATTCCCCCCCCCCCTCTTCACCACACACCCTATGATTTTCGTTTGACCACCAAACCCTATAATGGGGTTCTTGTTGTCATTTTATACAAAAGCCTATCAACATACCACCAAAACCTACATCGATGACGATTTGCATATCCGAACAACAAACCATACACTGATGCTAATTTGTAGATCCCTACCACTATAAGTTTATATATTAAGCCACTAATTCATGTCCACTAGTAAAACCACTACTATTCCTACCAATATCCTAAAATTTTCTGTCTATGACTAATGACTAAAGCAATTCTAGTTTAATGCACCGGTGAAGAAAAATTAAACTCAAATTATGTCATTTCCTCTAGTATCTCCTTCTTGTCGAACCCAATCGACAACATTCTTCTTCACGTGTTTAATTTTTCATAACATAAAAACAACTCATAAAACATTTTATGAGATTCTTAGGGTTTCTAATTTTTATTTCATCGGTTTTCGAAGTAAGAAATCAATAGTTGACACACAAACATGAGACGATGGGCGTGTTGTTAGAGTGATTATAAGATGCAAACGAGTAGGCCGAATATAATTGATGCAACTTATAGGTCTTGTTAATTTCACATTGTAGGCTAGGTGCTAGAAAACATCAAATCTGAAATTTCCGTTCTTATATCTGATTCGAAAAACATAGCCAATTGAAAGCATCCAAAGTAAATGGAGATCGGTGATGTTATCACTTCAGGTTTGGGGGTTAATCAAGGTACGTATAATATAATAATGAGAAAAGAAAACTTGATGTTGAGGATTGATTGATGTTTGAAAGGAAATTCTTTGGATGTTGTTAATACATTTTCCAATGACTTGAAACATAATTATTTTGCTAAAGGTCAAAGTTGCTATGGATAAAGGGAAAATGTAAATTTATGGTATAAAAATTATGATGTGGATAGTAATAGGATGAGTGAGGGTGGTGGAGGAAACTGAAGATGAATTCATTGTTGATTTTATAATAGTCGTCGATGATATTAAGGAAGAAATCAACGATGATCAGAAACGGGAAATGAAGGGTTGGATCCATTCATAACTTTTTTATATAACTAACATCGAAACAAATTTAAACTGTATGGATCTTCTTGGTGAAAAAAAGAAATGAAATTGAAAGAAGCAATTTACTTCAAACTATAGGGACTATCTATGTAATTTACTTGTATTTTATTTGCTTTTTTAAGTCGTGTATACACGCGCCACAAGTGTTGGGTGGGGATGTGAGGATCTTTAGGCTGAGTAATATGAAACTTTAAAGAAACTGGAATTTGGTTGCAGGAAGAACGAGTTTTTTACCAAATTGGCGTGTTTGAAAAAAATATTTGCATGTAGGTGTAGTTTCAAATATATTTACCAAAACAGTCAAAATATTTATCAAAACAGTATTTTTTTTTATTTTCTTTTTTAATATTTTCGGCTATTATTTTAATTTTTAGTGTTTTTTAATATAATTTTTGACATTTTTTTAAACCCTTTGCTATTAACTTACATGTGGAATAACAATTGCAAATAAGCAAATTACAATTATAAATCAGAGTAGAAATTAATTGTTATTTGCTGTTTGCAAATAACAAAATAATAGTGGAATGCAATAGCAAATAATAGTTGGAATCAATCCAAAACTAACAAAGCTGAAATCAAAAATCAAAAGAGGATTCGAACTTACAAGGAAATCAAGCTACAACCGAGTTTGTTGTGGCCGGAATCGGATTGACCAACGTCGACTATGGCCAGAATCGAAGAAGAACCGGTCCCCGTCGTCTTCTGCAGTGGAGTACTCGCCGGAATCAAGTCGCCGGTGTCCGTTTGTGTCCGGAATTGGAGCCGCCGGCATCGGCTATGGCCGAAATCGAACGACGATAGAAGCGATCGATTGAAGACGTGACTTTGGGGAATGGGTATCAGAACGTCGACTGGTCTCTGTGGTTGCGTCTTACGTTTTTTTTTTTGACTTGTTATAACCCTAAATGGTAAATATGTTTAAAACTACACTTGTTTGGTAAATAAGTTTTCAAAAAACACCGATGTGGTAAAAAACTCTAGGAAGAACAGGGTAAAATAAGCCCATAGAGATGACTACTCAAAGTCTGATTGGTGGGCCATTGTGGGCTGTGAGTGGAGTCCACAGATCAGGAAACCAAAAGCAACGCCAAGTGTAGTCGTCGAAGATGCTTTCACACACTTTTCTTCTACGCTACCTTTTCATATTTTTCTCTATTAATACCTTGTCCGGGTCAAGTCTTGTGTAGTGTATACACCCGTTAGATGAAATTGACCAAAAATATTTTTATTTTATTTCTTTTAAGGTAAATGACTTACAAATCTTTGTATTTCCTACTTATTAATAAAAGTAACATCGGTTATAAACTTTGAATATTTAAAGAGGTGTTTGGGATTGCTTATTTAAAAGCTTATTAATTTATTACCGTTTCACACCATTCATAAGATAGTTGTACTTGTTTGAATATGATAAATCAACAAATCTATTTGAATAAAAGGTTTTTGATAAATCAAATAGCTTATTAGGTGGGAAAACAAAATATTAAATTTTCTATCGTATTGTTGGATGAACTTTAAGAACTGATAAATCGAAGGTAAAAAATACTTTAAATCAACACGTTTTACTCTATTTGACAACTTCAACAATACCTTAGGCATATAATAGACTTTTCGTGCTAAAAATAACTTTCAACCAAAACTGGGCTGTCAAAAAATTCTAAGAACAATAATGATGCAATCTGAAAATAAAATAAAATTATAGTCTTTGGAAATTACTTAAGTATGAGAAAACTTGTTGAAATGAAAGCAAAGGACGATGGATCATTTATATTACTAGGCAAACTTAAAAATAATATTGTTTTAATTACTCAAGAGTATGTAAGACTATGCGGTATGGGTGGTATGGGTTTGAGATTGCTCGTTATGGCTGACGTGGACACGCCATAACGGCGTTGTAACGGGGGAACACCCCCCCCCCCTTCTCTTTTCTTCTCGTTATGGCGAATCTCGTGCCCGTTACCACCGATTGAAACGCGAAAAAAATAGACGTCGGTGTAATGGACCGTTTGCAACCGTCAAAATTTAAATTAAAAAAACTTTTATATAAATACACATTTTAACCCAATTTTTTTACACATTTCTCTCATTCTCTCTATATTTTATACTTTCTTCTCAATCAAAAAAATGGAGCAAAACTCAAACACCCCCTCCATCATCAAACCCAAACACACAACCAAACACAACCTCGCCTCTCGGATTTGCAGGTTACGAAAATTATTTTAACCTTTTATCGTCTCAAGGATCACCACAAATCTCATACCAAGGCGCCACTTTCAATCCCGCTTTCACCACCACTGCAATTTCTTCACTCACCTTACTTTCAACAAAATCTATTTGGTCAAAATCCAAATTTACAACAAAATCTTCTCCCTACTTTTGCTTCGATGCACCAAACAACCACCCAACCACCACCTCCAACACAACCATTCATTGAAGTGGAAGCGGGAGGTAGTAGGAGAGGGAAAGGGAAAGGAAAAACGAAAGGGAAATTGATAGCAGTTGAAACGGAAAATGCAGACGTTCCACAATGGTGGACACCGGAGGGGGAATATGCTTTGACGGTGACATGGTGTACTACTGCAAAAGACGAACTCCGCGGAAATGGAATGAAATAAGGTGCTTATTGAAGGGCGGCGCGCGGAAAATTTCACGCTATGTTGAAGAAAAAACCATATCGCAATAATGACATGTTAAGCAGCAAATGAAGTCAAATAACTAAGCGGTGCAGCAAATTCAACGGTATTTACAACCGGCTTGAGGCGCAACAGCAAAACGGAACCAACGACTTCGATTTGTTCAAATCTGCAAAACAACAATATCGGGTTGAAATGGGACATGTTTTCGAGTTTGAGAAATCATGGGAGTTGTTGAGAACGGATCCAAAGTGGAATAAAACTTCTACATCGTCGGATGTTCAATCCAAAAGGTCTCGCAATTCGAGCTCGGTCGACGTGTCGAACGCACGGACTCACATCGACCTAAACACCGACACCGATGACATCCCAGATGATATCGAGGAGATATCCCAACCACGACGACCGCCCAAACGCGACAAAGCGAGGCGCGCTGCAAGGCATGCGGAGGAGGTTAAGGCGAAAGCAAAAGACGCGGCGAAAATGAGAGTGAAATTCGATGAGCACAATTTATTAATAAAAGAAAAAAATGACTTGAAACGTCGTCACTTGGAGTTTCTAGAAAGGCAAGCACGAGAGAAGTAGGAGCAAAAAGAGAGAGAACTAATGACACATAAGTTATCAATTCTTCGGACTAGCGAGAAGGGTTTGGCGCCTGAAGATCTATTGGTGCTACAAACAATGAAAGATCAAATTAGGAAGAAGTATTTGAGTTAATTAGGATTAGTAGTAAAATGTTATGCTTTTAGGTCTAATTTAAATGTTATTTGGGTTAATTAGGACTTGAAAAAAAATGTTATCTTTTGAAATTATGTCTTTTTTATTGTAACCTTAATTTTAGTTTTTAAATATTATGTCTTTTTTTGTTTTTTAAATATTATATTTTATAAAATGTATTTCTTTTATTAATTTTAAGAAAGACAAACAAAAAAAAGTAAATAAAAAAAAAACAAACTCGAAAAAAAAAATACAAAAAAAAAATAATGACATGGAAAAAAGTTTGTGTTACGTCTTGTTATAACATTATAACACCATTGGTGATGTGGCATGTGAGGTGGCACCAATTTGCTGTTACATCTGGTTGCCCACACTCAATACTCTAAGAATTGAGAAATTTGTGATAACATTGCACGGTGTAAAAAACTTCACTTAAATATAAACAATTGGAGAACTGTATTTAATATTTAAATTAATATAATTAAATGTATTACATTTTTACTATATTAAATCAATGTTCTACATATCATTGTACATTTTTCAGCTAGTTTTTACTTATTGTAGCTTTTTATCAACCAACAATTAGCTGCTAGTCTGCAAATACATCCTTAAAATAATATTCTTTCAAATTTGAGAAAGAAAAAGACTAGTTGGGAAAGGATTTCTTAAAAAACCTTGGATCAAAACTGGTTTTTTACTTTTCTTTTTTTTTTTTAAACCAAACCACATGTACTTCAGAAAATCTACTAAATTATAGCATTATCCCTTGCAGAAAATCTATCTAATTCATTGCTATGATTTGACAGATTTTTCAAAGTAAAATGTTTTGATATAAAAAAAACAAAAGTAGGATCCTATAATAAACAAATCAATGAAAGTACATTGTTATTTCTTGCAATTTTACCCTAGACAACGCATATAATAGTAGAACATCTTTAATACTAAACAAATTAAGAACAACGTTTATGGATTTAGGTACATTTCTATCTTTACAGTAGAACAACATAACATCAAAGACATAGATATTGTTTGTAAGTTGTAACCTTAATTTTCAGAATAAATAACTGCTGATAACTCCTTCATACTTCCTCTTGCATAATAAGAGAGAATTCTTCATACAATAAATTAATCCATCAATGCAGCAGTTATCAGAATGCCTGCAATGAAATTAAAGACTTAAATTAAAGACTTAAATTTTTTGGTTTAAAAACATAATCGTCTTTAAATCTTTCTTTTCAGGAAAATAGATTCATCACTGTTTACCTGCAAATTTAGGAATGTTATTTGTTAATTTACATTAATCATCATAGAAGCCCTAATTATTCACACTTCAATAGTTTCAATAATTCATATTAAATTTGAGATCATAAACCAGAAGCAAACATACAATGAACAGAAAGTTTAATATAGCAATCAGATGTACCTTTCAAGAAGACGAGTGTTTTTTTCCCACGCATTGAGGAACTTCATCAAAGTTCTTGGAAGGATACTTAGCAGTAACCATCCCAACCTCAAACACCAAATCATCACCGTTAATTTTAATTCCGGTAATTCCCCACCACTGGAAGAAAGCCTTAACCCTAATTCCATTGAGTTCCGAAATCCGGTTCTGAACTAACTTACCAGTGACTTTCTTCGAGTAGGTAGCGAGGTAGTTATCAGGTGGAAGGATAAGGCGGCAAGGGTAGCCTAGGTTGACGGAGAACTCGCCGGAAGTATGGTTCAGGTCATAGGAAAGAACATCGGTGGGGAGTAGTCCGATCGGAAAACCGTGGTGGGTAAGTACAGAGTGAGCGGTTAGTGGGGTGGATGATAGTGAAGAAGAAGAATTGTCAGGGTTAGGGGTTGAAGAGGATATGGAGATGAAGAGGGTTAGATGGAACATGAAGAAGAAGAAGAGAGATTTGGCCATGGCGATTGCGAGTTGAATCGGTGATTTGGGGAGAGAGAAACGATAACGATAAAGGTAGATATTTGGGTGTTGGTTATGATGAAATCAAAGAGGTGATTTTGGTGTGACATGTGGGCCTTTGACCAAGCTTTTTGCTAAGTTATGATTATAAACCTTTTAGTCTTTACCGGGTCGTTTCGATGAAGAGAACACCGCCCCCTAGCGTTCGCTAAGAGATGCTCGTCGACTCCATGGCGAGAACAAAGAGAAAGGATTGGAAGGATGTGATTGGTGCAAACGATTTCTGGTTCTTCTCCTGTGATTTCATCAACATGAGGTTCTGATGTCTCCTTCTTGCTATGATTTTTTCTTTTCTTTTGTAAGTTTTTATGCTTTGTTACCATATTTTTATTATGTGATTTACTATGTTTTAAGGTGTTTAAGGCCCTTAAAGTGGGTTTTTACGTTTTGTAAATGAATTAATTTCTCTTTAAAGTTAAAGGAACCGTGTGAAGAAAACTGATTTGCCTTCAAGTTTATGTCAGGCTTATCTATATAGTTATGTTAATGTTGAAGAATTACGATTATAGATTCTCACAGTGCTGTGTTTTTTGTAACTAAGGTCATTGAAAGAAACATGAAGACAAAGTGTTTGATGAAATGCTCAAATGAAAAAAACATTTTCCAAAATTGTAATGTAATGGTATATTTGGAACTAAAATGAAGTTTGTAACGAATTTAGAGCTTGTATGATTTCTTAACTATATATGTTTTTATATGATTTTAAGATTTTATGCTAAGATGATTTATACAAGACAATTCAGATTTTGATGTCAAGTTTCTCCAAAAGACTAAATCCTCTTTGAAGTTTGAACTTGCACTTTATGAGAATTCTTAATGTAATTTGTATAGCTTCTTTTTTGGATTATCTTTCTCATTGTTTGTATGTTTTCTGAAGTAAAGGTACTAGATATCTTATATATTAAGGTCCTGTTTAACCAGAAGACAAGGTTACTAGTTGATTTTTCTTTTAATTTTTTGCTTATGTGGGATCTTATCAGTGTTCTGTGACATCCTACTAATGCTAATGTGGCAGATGACATGAATGAGGAGACAACGCCTAAAGAAGCGGAAGAAGAGATGCTTAAAGGATTCATACTTAACCTTTCTCATGTCAAGAATCTTAATATTTGGGCTTCATGTTCTGAGGTAAACAAAAAAAAATACTTTGGGCAATTTATATCTTTGTATAATCCATATGATCATAGCTTTAGTGGTACTCCTTTGATTATCCTTTGATGAATTGACTGTCATATATGGATCATGAATGCTTTTGTATAATTGATGAATATATGCATTGCACGCTTCTTATTTTTGTTGTCTTTTCATTCTTGTTGTTGTGTTGGGCTTCCTATTCGATCTTACTCGGGCGTACTAGGTCAACAAAGTCAAACTCGGCCTACTCGGTCAAACTCGGTCAAAGGGTCAAAATTGTCATAAAAAGAGAACAAATAAAGAATTTCAAGATTAATATGTATAATACACTTCATGATTTCTTATTTAACACACATGTGATAATTACTACATATATATATATATATATATATATATATATATATATATATATATATATATCTTAAATTTTCAATAATTATTTACGAAGTGAGACAATTGTGTATATTTCAGTTTTTATGTATTCACATGTATCTAATTTTGTTATATATTTCAATAAAATTATGATTTTTACTTATGATTTTGACATATATAATTTTCCTAAAAATATATCTACATGAATTACCGAATCCGAGTACTCCCGAGTACTCCCGAGTACTCCCCGAGTACTCCCGAGTACTCGCTACTCGGTAGTCGGCCGAGCAGGCACCGAGTAGCGAGTTCTACAACCTTGCTAGGAACCACGAAAATGGGTTCAAAACACAAACCTTAAACTTAAAAGGGTAAGGGCTTAATCATTAAGCACTTATTCAACAAGGACACAACTCCAAAATACAGATCTGACCACATAAGGCTAGATGGCCATGTAAAGTTTCCAACTTTACACTTATTCATGACTAGAAGAAGCTCAAAAGCTCAAAAGAGGACAAAAGAAGGGCTTAATGAATGCATGAAGCCCTTAAAACCATAAAGCTGACACCTTTATGCCAAAAGAGCTCATAAAGATCATAGATCTGAAAAGGATAAACACTTGGGACTCCTACTTCCCCAACAACCACCCATCCATGGCTAAAAGCATACAAATAAACCCAAGAAGAGATCTAAGCAACTATTAAGCAAGGTTAGAGCTTTATACCCGAAATGTGCTGAAAATGAAGCAGAGAATCAAGATCTGAAAGCTCTTACTTAAACCACCACCTTGCACCAAGCTTCTCTTCCTTCAACGAGCTTCAATCACATCAAAACACACCCACAATGAGCTCACAACACTCAAGGAGGCTCTAGGGTTTCGAGATTAAGGTTAGGGGCTCTGGAGGCTGGGAATGAGGCCAACACCTGGGACTTAAGGTGTTTAAATAGGGCACAAAACCCCAAAATTAGGGTTTCCTAAACAACGTCCAACTCGTCGAGTTGTCTCATTAAACCACGCGACCAAAACAACTTCTACTTGCCGAGTAGAGGCTCCTCAACTCGTCGAGTAGACCCATTAATCCCCATGATTCTTCATCTTCAACACGCCGAGTTGGTTCCTCCAACTCGCCGAGTTCAACTTGAAATTGACATAATTCCACAATTAACCTTCTAGATTCCAGGTGTTACAGCCCAATACAAGATAAAACCCAAAATCTTATTAGGCTAACATCCCCCCTCAAACTCACAATGCAACGGCAATAAGCATTGAGAGTTTGTTAGACAGAAAATGGAATCGAGGAGCAATCAACGGCTTCGTAAGAATATTAGCAATCTGCAAAGAGGACGGAACATAAGGAAGGGAGATAGTGCCCTTCTGGAGATGATGACATGTGAAATGACAGTCAATCTCAATGTGCTTTGTGCGCTCATGAAACACTGAATTATTGGCAATCATTATGGCACTTTCGTTGTCACAATACAAAGGGGTAGGCTGAGAGATGTGAACGCCCATATCTGCAAGGAGTCATTTCAACCAAACAATCTCACATGTGGCGATAGCCATGGCTCGATACTCAAATTTTGTAGAAAGATCGAGAAACAACATCTTGTTTCTTGGTTTTCCATGATATCAATGAATCTCCAAGAAAAACAAAATACCCAGTAGTGGACTTACGATCATAAATATCACTATCCTAATTTTCATCACTATAGGCACATAGCTCAAGAGAGGATGTATATGGAAACATAAGAGTGCGGAACTGAGTACCACGTAGATATCTCAAAATACGAAGAACATCTCCCCAATGAACAGTAGTAGGAGCAGTGGCAAACTGGCTAACCACATGAGCTGCATGAGAAATATCCGGTCTAGTGACAGTCAGGTAAACCAAACTCCCTACAATGGCAGATAAAGACTTGGATCTGATAATGGGACACCATCAGTTGGAGAGTACTTTGCATTATTCTCTATAGGCGTATCAACTGTCCGATTATCCGTGAGTCGTGCACGTTTAAACAAATATGAAATATACTTTGTTTGAGATAAAACATAACCCTTTGGAGACTAAGCAACTTCAATCCCCAAGAAATAACGTAGCAAACCCAAGTCTTTCATAGCAAAATGGTGAGCCAAATCACGCTTTAAAGACTTTATACCATCATGATCATCACCAATAATAATCATGTCATCGACATATATGGAAAGAATAATCCGACCTGCGTTCGTACATCGAATAAATAGAGCTGAGTCATGGTTACTTGGTTGAAAACCAAGCAAAGTAATCACCGTAGAAATTTTCTCAAACCAAGCACGAGGGGCTTGTTTGAGGCCATATAGTGCCTTCCGAAGTCGACAAACTTCACCTGGTTGGTGAGCAATATCAGGGGGAGGAGACATGTATACTTCCTCATGAAGATCACCATTCAAGAAAGCATTCTTGACATCCATCTGATAAATCTTCCATTGGCTAATGGAAAAACTGCAATCAAGGTGCGAACAATTGTCATTTTTGCAACAGGAGCAAACGTCTCCTCATAATCCATATCATACTGTTGCGCGTACCCTTTCGCAACAAGTCTGGCTTTATAACGCTCAACGGATCCATCCGACTTTGTTTTGATTTTATATACCCAACGACAACCAATCGTGTGCTTTCCGGGCAGAAGCGGAACCAGATCCCATGTATGAGTCTGATAAAGAGCTACAAGTTCCTCAGCCATAGCGGTCTGCCAAAGGGGATCAGAAACAACCTCTTTGTAGGATGTTGTCTCAGAGAGACGATGCACATTAGCAATAAATGAGGCAAACACCGGTGAGTAAGAGGAATAGACAAAGTCAGGAAGCTTTGTGGACTTCTTATTACGATAAGGCCTCGATTGAGGGGGTTCTTGATGGTCTGCAATAGGTGGTGGATCAGCGACAGGTGGTGGATCAGCAGCAGGTGGTGGATCAGTGACATGTGGTGGATCATCAATGTCAATGCTAAATGGATCAATAGTACGAAGCTCCTCTCGAGGTGAATCATGTGACTGAACAGTAATGCTATAAAATGGAATATGCTCCAAAAAAGTGACATTGCGAGAGACATACAGTTTCTGATTTGAAGGATCATAGCACCGATAACCCTTCTGACTAATACCATATCCCAGAAAAACACAAAGAGCTGATTTTGAAGACAACTTATCTCTCTCTACATGAGGCTTCAAGACAAAACATGTACACCCAAACACTCGTAATGAAGAATAATCTGGAAGTTGTCCAAACAACATTTCATAAGGAGATTTCCCCGAAGTGTACGCAGTAGGAATGCGATTAATAACATAAGTGGCGGTATGAACAGCTTCTCCCCAAAACATATTGGGAACTTGAGCAGAAAATAGTAAGGATCTGGCAGTTTCTAGGAGATGTCGATGTTTTCTTTTTGCAACACCATTCT